CACAAATGGTAAAATATAACCATGTTTTACAGAAAAAAATATTAAAAACTATCTCTTTAAGTATTCTTGTTCGTGTAATTATATTTAATAGGACTTCAAGAACCACTTAAACACCATTTCATATAGGTAGTTAATTTCTTTCTCTTTTTTTAAATTAATTATCGTTATATGTATATGAAAAAAAAATCATTCGGGCTGAAGCTTCCCCTCTCCCAAACTTAAATCCTGGATCCGCTATTGATTGTGTTAATTACTTAAATTAAACATTCTTTTAGTTATCGCTACCTATTGAATAAAACAACGTTATTTTTTTTTTTTTAAAATACTATCTTAAATTTCCTACCTTTTTCCTGAAAATCGAACCACTGCTTATCTAAACTTTATTGTAGCTCTTGAGGTCTGATATCACTCATATAAATATGTTCTACTTACGAGACATCCTATATCAGTAAATATCATAATTCAATTAAGATGGTTATTTTCCTGTAAATGGGATATATGGTATTTTGTGTAAATGAAGGTTATTTTCGTCAGTTAAATTATTAATTTGCTGTCTATCTAGACTGTTTCTATCTCTCTAGGCGGAATCCTTTTGTGTATGTTCGGTGTCTTAGAAATTATTATTGTGTATGTTGTGAATGCGAACGGTTACATGTATATGAGCTCAATAGAAAGCAAAGATATAAAAAGAGAAAAATTTGACCTTTGCCACGGAGAAAAGAATGACGCCGGATTGTACTCTAATGGAATAACGACCCATAACGTAACTAATTAGCAAATTCATCAACCTATTTGTCACCTCACTTTCTTTAGTAAATGATTATAACGCGTTGGGTGTAATTCGAGACTGTCGGCTGCCGTAGGCGTAACGGAATATTTAATGGCAGTGCTAATATGTTTCTCAAACCATACTCAGGCGGTACAATGATTGATGTTTTAAATATTTTTTTGTTTGTACAAAATTCAGTATCTGGGAGCACGGATGTTATTTTTGTTTGACAAGGATATTTATTAATGACTCTCATAAACATATTTTACAGGAGACGCACGTAGAATTTGAGCTCGGTAATCTGATTTATTTGAATTTAGAGATCTTAATTTTTTTTTTTGTCAGAATATGAAAACAAATTGAAAATTATTATCATCGTTGATAGATAGCATTTCATTGCCAACGCTTCTAACCTAGCTAGTGGGTCATCATCAGAGCTGAAACATTTATAATGTCAGAGATATAATGTGATATAACAGTTACTAGTTTATAATGATAAATACTGATGTATGGGTAATAATAATAAAATCATAACTAATGTAGAGTATTGTGAATCCGTACATATTTTACAGCACTGACGGTGACTCTATACGGTGACGGAGAAGTATTAAGTGTAATAGATATTTGTAAGGAAGAAAAATCAGGAGGTGTTGATGGTCTGACAATTGTACACATAAAAGCTGGGGGAATGATCCTAGCGCAGGCACTCACTCACTTATATAATACATGCCTTAAGAATACAAGCTTTCCTGAAGAATGGGAAACTGCAAAACTCATAATACTGCCAAAGATAGGAGATAAGAGAGATTTAAATAATTATCGCCCATTAAGCCTACTCTCAGTTTTATATAAAATATTTTCTAAAATCCTACTTAGAAGAATAGAAGACAAATCGGATATAGAATTAGAAAAACATCAAGCAGGGTTTAGGAAGAATTACTCTGCTGTAGACCACATATTTGTGATTAAAGAGTTAATTAAGAAAGCTAATGACTATAATCTGTCAGTGAGCCTCCTTTTTCTGGATTACGAAAAAGCATTTGACTCCCTAAAAACCGATTGTATTATAAATATGTTGAAAAAGAGGAACATTAGTTCAAGAATATGCAGGATACTGGAAGATATGTATTCGAGATCCAATGCAGAATATAAATCAGGAAGTACAACAGTAAAAATAAAAATTTGTAAAGGTGTACGACAAGGTGATACCCTTTCTCCTAAAATATTTATATCAGTTCTCCATGATTTGATGCAAACTATGAATTGGCAGAACAAAGGAATGAAAATTTTTGGAGAGTGGCTGAACCATTTAGAGTTTGCGGATGATCAAGTCCTAATAGGTAAAAATAAAGAAGAAATCCTAACGATGGCAAATCTCACAAACTTTAGGGAAATTATGGAAGACACAATTATCAAACTTAAATATTACCGACATTAGCTTTAAGTCCATCTTTTTTTTTTTCACTTCTCTTGTAACGAACAGCAGATGGAAAACTCCAAAACAAGAAACAAAAACACTAGCATAGAGAAAAAGATTTAACTATATGTGTTTCCAACAGTTTGTGAAATGTCTAAACGCACCTTATGAGGATGACAAATAATGAGGATTTTCAGTATTTTTGTGGTTTATTAGGCTTACTGACGTTTTGACCCAAGCTTGTGAGTCAGTGCTGGTTACTGTCTGGTCTAGCAACAACAATGGAAACGTTGGCAGGCCTGATAAACCATATAAACACTGCAATTACACTTAATGTGTTCTATTCCATTTTTAACTTTGTTTAGAGTTCCTCGAATGGAAAAAACACAAAAATATGGATCCCCCAAAAAATATGACCCCTTAAAAATTTATAATCTCGTAAAAATGTTCATCAAAAATATTGAATTACCTATAGGCTATCTAAAGAATATGTTTTTTTGGAATAAACAAATATTTTTAAGAATGTTCTTTAATGTCAATGTGGCTAAAGGTCGTCAATCCGGTGGATCGAAGGCTGTGCCGACGTTATCAGAGAAGATAGAAGGCACCGCCTTAGGGTAGGATTTGTACCGCTGGGACGGAAGAGGCGATCACCAAGAGGAAATAGGAACCCGGGAACAGATGAATTCGATTTACTTCACTGGCAGGCCAACTAATCGTCAGGGAGTGATTCCCAGCTCTGGGGCTACTCCCGATTCCTGTCAATATTAAATCCCTTTGCCGGAAGGAATTAAATTCCCTAGTGTTCGTTCAGTGGACCATCATCGCGTTTAAATATCTGTTTATTTATTCTAGAATGTGTCGGGATTTGGTTGCTTCTCATTTATTACTAGAAAAAAAGTTTTCTTGAATTTGAAACCTCTTCTTTAAAAATATGAGAAGCTATCTGATTTATGACTCTATGATATGAAAATAGACACGAGTTCGCGTCCCGGTGCCGGGGGAATCTTTTAAATCCCCGTTCACACGCCGTATAGCCTTAGCGGCGAGGAAGGGGAGGACCCAAAAAAAAAAAAAAAGTTGCGCCATCGAATTTTTTGAGGGGGCCACATTTTGACTGAATTTTAAATTTTTTAATAGGGCACATTCTAACAGGATTGTGAATTTTCGGAGCGAAAAGTTTCAAAACAGCAAGCGTAATTTGTATATGATTTGCTTATTTTTCTAATTCTAGTTTCACTGACATTGTTTTTAAAAGAGAAAAGCAACAAAATTTCTTGGGAGGGGGAATGGGTTTCATGCATGATCCACCTTGTGGGGAGTGGGAAGGGGTAGTCTTGTCAAAATACCATTCTTAAGGGCTCATTTCTACACCTGTAAAGAATAAATATTGAAAACAAAAGTTAAGTTTTAGTTTTATCATTGAATTTACAAAATATTTTACAACGTTTCATAAATGTTACTCTCTCTGGAAAATAAAATTAAATCATATAATGGCAAATCACAACAAATAACGTTTGCACTTCTACTTGGCCCGTGTCCACCACTTTTTATTGGCGACAATTCTCAGAGAAACGCAGTATGTTACCTTAGACTTATATTTGACGAAAAGAAGACCTGGGAGCCCATTGAAAACAATTTTCTAAACAAACGACTGAAATTATTATACTCCCTGTTTTAAATCTTCAAAACGGAAATTAGACAGAAACTAAGTAAATTTACCTACTTACTTAAAACCATATGGACATACACCTCACAGATTTATGATTCAGCAATAAAGATTCATTTACAAAACTACAATCTTATCAATCAAAAATGTTAAGACTGATAGCAGACGTTTCCTGGTACATAAATAACAAAACTACATAGCGACTTACTACAAGCAACTATCGATCATCACATAGGTATTCTTTATTCCTAATTTTATAATAAAGAATAACTACACGGACACAACTGACTTATGTACAACATGGCCACTGCTCACATGCCTATCAGAAGGCGACTGAAAAGGAGCTAGATGAGAGGTCTGTCCTGAATTAAGGAAATAAATAAAGACAAGCAAGATTTACTGTTAGGTAATATCCTTCCCAATGCCATTTGTTTCTCCTTGATTGTCAGCATGTTTGTTTATTGTCACTTTTGTCAAGAGACAGAAAAACAAAACAAAAAAAATAGTTTAATCACTGATTTAATTAATGTAATAAACAACAAAGTATTATTTATTCATCTTGCTTTTATGAGCCAAAATTATATTCATACTAAATTTAAAATTAAATACATATAAGTATCTTATTATTCCATTCAATGAAATTTTATAGAGAAAAATGTTAGGAAAACAATTTTTTACTTCAGGACTTTGGACTAATTTCAAAAACAGTGCCTCAAGTCTCCCAAATTCAGGAACCATTCAGAAAAATACACATACATTTCATATCACAGTCCAAGATTTCACAACTCTTACCGAGTGCTGATGCCTTGATCAAGACGGTCCTCACTCTTAATATGTCTACTTTATCCACCCAGTACCAATCTCTTTTTCTTTAATATTACTATTGTTTCCCTGGTATTTCAATAGCGCTATTGTCGTTTTTTACTACAATATTTAATATACTAGCTGTTTTCATGTTTCCATTAACATGGTATCAGATTTTATGGGGTCTTAGAGGTCAAAGAATCTTCTGTTATAAAAGACTGATTTCAATACATCTTTATTCTCCTCTCTCTGGATGATGTTTTCATGACATCATCTTTATTATTATTGTATTAATTATTTAAAAATAAATTTGAATTTAATGTTGTTTTTTTTCATGGCAGGAGCTGAAAGAAAGCTTCAACTATGGCCTATTCTGTCCTCCAGTAAACGGGAAGGCTGGTAAGTTCCTGGATGAAGAGAGAAGGTTAGGAGACTACCCTTTCAATGGTCCTGTTGGATATCTGGAAGTAAGTTTAATGTTTACATTATTTAAATGGTGCATTTGTATTTATTTTCATGAAATTATTTTTACAAGTAACATACATTTAGACTGGACCAAAAAAGGGCTATGAACTCTCTACCTGTATTTTATTGTATTATTATCAAAAATCTTTTCCATATGTCCTTGTTTTAAATTGAAATAAATATGGTGAAGAAATAAAACACAGCCTTATTTTATAATATAAAAATTTTTTTTTTTTTTTTTTTACAATGAATCATATATAATAACCATTTTCATAGTAATTTTTTTCCCAATTAAATATAACTTCTGTATTATTATCTAATTATTCTAGTTGAAGTATAAAAGGAGGGTTTATAAGCAGCTGAGCCTAGATGAGAAGCAGCTTAAGGCCCTTCATACTAGAACCAATCTGCGAAGATTCTTGGACTATGTCACCAATTCACAGGTGGAGAAGATAACGAAAATGTGTTCCAAGGGCTTGGATCCCAACTTCCATTGCCCAGATACAGGAGGTATCCACTTCTTATACTTTTTAAATGCTCTGTATAATTTATTATTATTTGTTTAAACATACTTTTATAATTTATAATTTTGAGATTTGAAATATTAAAAGTAAGAAGTGATTGTTGCTCATTTTTGACTTGATAAAAGCTTAACCTTATTTTAGTGACTAGATCTGATAATTAATAATACAAGGAACTCATTTAAAAAAAATACTATTCCACATCAAATCAAATAATAACAAAAAATTAGTTTAGAGGTTTTTTAAAAAATGAGTGAAATCTAATATTTATCTTCAATGCACCTAGTAAAAAAAAAAAAACATTAATAGTTTCAATTTTTAATCATTTTTAGTTTTTGAATTATAAATATTTCAATAAACCAACTTCTCTTATTTTTTTTAAACATTAAAAAATAATCAATTTTCAGGCTTTAAGTTACAAATTTGTCAATTTGATCTGGTATGATCCAAAAAATTCTGTAATTTTCACAAAGATTAATGATTATCTATTTTTGTGGCATAAAATAAATTACTGCATGGATTATATATTGCCATTGTTATCCTCAATCCAACAAAAAAAAGAGTGAATTACACACTTCACTATGAATATTTATCTTAATTTAATAAAATAACAAAATTCAGTGATTGAAAAGGAATTTTTTTCTTCTTCAGAAATACTGAACAAAAATCATTCTATATTTATTCCTTATTGTTCTTTATATTGGTTTTATTTTATCAGTTTCTTTATTTAACAAAACCCAATATTGCAGAAACACCGCTGAGCATTGCCGCTGCCATAAAGAAACCAGGTAAGGTGTTGATGGCCTTGGTAAACGGAGGTGCGCTGCTGGACTACAGAACGAAGGAAGGCTGTACTGCCCTCCATAGGGCGGTGCAGGCCAACTCGCTGGAGGCAGTCACCACACTCCTCGAGCTAGGGTCATCGCCGAACTACAAGGACGCTAAGGGGCTGACTCCTCTCTACTGGGCTGTCACCCAGCCCACTGATCCCCTTCTCTGTGAGGGTTTGCTGCATGACCGTGCGACTATTGGAGCACAGGACTTGCAAGGGTGGCAGGAAGTCCATCAGGTAGGATTCGTGAAGCGTCCATTTTGTATGATATCTGTTTTATTTTTGATAATTTAAATGTCTACCATCATGAAAGTTTGTTTAAGTCATAAATTAGTCCTTTAAACCTAAATTAGGTTTTATTGTGCCTTTTTTTTTAATATTACATTTAATGTCAAGCCCCAAGTCCAATCATACATACATATTGTTTTATATGCCTTTGCCAATTATGAAAAAATAGATAAGTATAAATCAGCAACTTTTAATTTACAATTCATTAATGCTTCAGATCATACCCGTGATTTAGTTTACTTTCTTAAGATTTCTTAAATATTGATTCTTTTCTTATATCTTTTATATTAAATTGTAAAAACTCAAAAATTAATTTTAATATACAAAATAACATTAGTAAATTAATATATAATATTTGACTTGAATTGTAAAGTAATTTTTATATAATTTGACTTCTTAATATCTATGAATAATATTCTCATAATTGTTCTCATCTGGTATGTTATTCTTAAGGTTCACAAAGTGAACCAAATTGTCTGTATATATATACTATCCAGTTTAGTCTATTGAACCTTCCTCATGCTAAAATAAAAATAAATAATATTAACATTATTTACTGGGGCACACCCAACCTCTATAAAGTGGGTACTCTTATTAAATTAAATGGAAGAACCTGGTGGTTGATCGTGATCCTGGCCCGATCAACTCTCTGCACAACCGTTGACCTGGAAACAGTGCTTCCTTAAAAAGTTCTGAACTCAAGAAGCTTCATGGGTTGTAGTAGTACATGTTTTTTTGTTTTATATCAACATTAAAAAAATAAAACAATAAACTATAAAATATTCATAATGATGTAGAGATGGTTGACCGTTGATATAAATGAGAAGGAGTTAGTCGGGGGTGTGGTCAGATAAATACTAAATTAAACTATAGTACTTATTTTATTTTAATTTTGCCGACGTTTCGACCCACTTTGCAGGTCATCTTCAGGGCGTAGGAAGTAGCACTGCGGGAGACAATTGCCTCTGACTTTGGAAATTGGGATAAACTATATTTCTGGTCTATATAATCTTCAGATATATACTCTTGGCCAGATAAATGAGATTTTCTCCTTCTTGTGTGGTTAGTTCTTGTATTTAATCACGTAAACCAGAGAGTTCAATCAGTGAGTCATATTAGGAGTAGTTTGGCCCAAAAGACCAACAAGGTCCACTTGCCGTACCTGTTCCCCCTACCAGTATCGGACCTTTAACTCTGAATATTGAATATATATATTACTATTCACCTCAAATAATTACTTTTTTATTTATTATTTAATTTAGTTAAATTAATTTGAAGATATCATTGATCTGTTTTTTAGGCATGTAGACTCGGTCTAGTTCAACATCTGGAGCAACTGCTGTTCTATGGAGCGGATATGAATGCCAGAAATGCCTCAGGAAATACACCATTACACGTGTGTGCCGTCAACTCCCAAGACTCTTGTGCCAGGTTGCTCCTGTTTAGGGGGTGTCAGAGGGATGCTCTCAATTATGCCAATCAAACCCCTTATCAGGTTGCAGTGATTGCCGGCAATCTAGATCTTGCTGATGTTATCCAAAATCATAGGCCTGAAAATGTTGGTAAGTTAGCATGCGGAATGGTCTTGACCGCATCTTTGTTGTTCAAGCTTGAGTTGATTAGTCTACTTTTTGTAGGGTATTTTGTTAAAGTTGGATTTGACTTTATCTGGTGGTTAATTCTCATTATCCTCATGCATTTATTTAGATATTTCAAAAGTTATTAAGTTATTTTATTTCTATGGTAATATTATTTTTAACTTATTTTAAGACATAATAAATTGATATTTTCTTTTTAATCTAAAATTTCAGCTCTTGCATGTTTTTCCTTATTTATTCTTGCTGTTAAATCGCATGTGAATTGTGGTTGATGATTGACTTTGGTATTTATTGGTGTGACTCTAATTTCACCTTGTTTGATTTTGATATCTACTGTTTTTAAAGCATGTTTTTTTCAATCCATTATTTCTGGATGGTCATTGTGTGGTGGAGGTTTTGATGGTTATTGGGTGTGGTGTTGGTGGTACCATTTTGGGAGAATTTAATTATACTTTTCGAATTAAACTTAATTTTATTAGAAAAAATTTAAATTTCGCATGGTTTCTGTAATTTAATTTCAATTTAAGAAGGTAGTTTGAATAAAACTTATGTATTCCTCTAATACACGCTCATTCTTTTCACAATATCAAAACAAGCACTTACATGACACTGTTTGGTAATTACTAATATTTTTGTCGAATGGTATTATTTTATTTATTGGTGGTGGTTCTTTAGAAATATTTTGTGTTTCAGTAATAAATTACAATGTATAATAAGATGACTTTAATTAATTTTATTTTTATTGTAAGTCATTCATTGAAAATATTTTGACATAGTTTAGTTTTGTTTTTAAATTTTTCAAATTCTATTTTTCGGAAGGCTATATGATAATTATCATCATTAAATACTTGCAAATGCCACTAAAAACTCTATACTATCCTAATTGTTTTAAATTAATATATTTTTTCTAAAGTTATTTTTCCTTTTTACAAATACAATTTAATATTTTCAGTTTTCATTTGATTTGTTGCAACAAATGTTAATGAAAGAGTTTAATTTCTTGAACATTTTATTTTCCACTTAAGTTCCAATAAAATCATACATTTATTTTTTTATTACTGATTTGTTCATTTCTTTTTAATTATCAATAAATCAAAATATTAAAATACACTGACAGGCAAAAAATTTCACCCACTTGATTTTTTCATGTTTTCATCCAAAAATATTTCTGCTTTGGATTGGTCTATTGTTTTTGATCAATAAATAGGTAATCTTTTTGTTTGTTTTCAATTAGGAGTGTTAATATAGAGGACAATAACCCTTAATCCTTAATTCAATGAAATGATCCTAGATTCCAATGTTTACTTTCTATGGAATCAAAATGTTTATTCAGTATCATTAGTTCAGTGCCGTTTCTTGCAGCACATTTCTTAGTCTCCGGCTTTTAATTTTTTCAATATTAAGTTTAAAAATGCCTCTTAGTGCTGAGGATGTTGCGCGTGGTGTGGCACTTATTGATGATGGACGTTCCATAAGATATGCAGCTAATGCCATCCATTTCCATATGAAACTTTACGAGACGCCGTCAGGCGTTTTTGGGAAACTGGTTCTTACAATAGAAGGCCCGGTTCTGGACGGCCTAGGGTAACAGAACCACGGGATGACCGGTTTTTGACTTTGAGAATTTTACGAAACCGGCACCTTACCGTTGTTCAAGCGATTCATCAGCTAGAAGAATTTTAAGGTGTGCAAATTTCTGAATATACCGCTCGGAGAAGATTAAATGAGTATGGATTAATGGCTTTTCGTCCAGTAAGAGGACCAGAGTTGACCAGAACTCATAGAGTAACACAGCTGGCTTTTGCTCGATAACACAGCCATTGGACTATGGAAGAATAGAGTGCTGTACTTTTTACAGATGAGTCAAGATTCGCTCTTCGATCTCCAGACGGGCGTGAAAGGATGTGGAGAAGAAGAAACGAAAGATATGCAGCCTGTAATTTTTCCCAGAGCCAACCTTTCCAACGTGGTTCCTTAATGGTGTGGGCTGGGAGTTCAATGGAGCGCCGAACAGAATTGGTTGTTATTCGTGGAGGGTTTTGACGGCCATTCGCTATGTAGATGAGTTTTTGGAACCTCATGTGTTGCCTGTCCTCAACGAAATCAGCGATCGTTCTATTCTAATGCACGATAATGCATGCCCACATGTCACCCGCATAGTGCAGACGTTCCTTCAACAGAACAATATTGAGGTTTTAGCCTTGCCAGCACGTTCTCCAGATTTGAACCCCATTGAGCATTTATGGGATAACCTCGGAAAACGAATAAGAGCGCATGCAACACTTCCTTATACACTGCAAGACCTTGAAAGGGCTCTTTGGGAGGAATGGGCTATCCTCCAGCAAAGGAACATTTCCCGACTGGTGGAAAGTATGCCGAGGCGTCTTCAAGAAGTATTGAAGGCAAGAGGAGGAAAAACGCGCTACTAAACGATGATGTAATTAATTTCTTTTAGAATAATAATGGTTTGTTTTTCAATTTTTTTTTTCTATTAATCTTTCTTACCTAATCACATTTTGATTATTAAAGGTAAAAAAGATTATAAAATTCCATAAATACTAAGTATTATCTACAAATACCATGTATTATATACAAATACAACTTTTTTTACAAGTGGCAGAAATATTTTTAGATGAAAACATGAAAAAATCAAGTGGGTGGAATTTTTTGCCTGTCAGTGTATATCTTATTATTGCAATATTGGGTGTAATAGAACCAGACCCTTTTTTTTCAAAACTATGGGACTAATTGAACTAAAATTTGTGTAGTCATTTCTAACAAAGTAGGAATAGAAATAATAATGCATTTATAAAATGAAAATAGTTTTTGCTGTAAACTGTGAAATCATACATCTCCTATTGAATTCCTTGATTCACCATTCGAACTAGATCGTAACTAAAAAATTGAATAATAGGGAATTGTAATTAACTAGTACTTAAGGAAGTATAACTAAATTTGTATTAAAGATGTTAGATTTAGTTTTTTTAACATGGAATCACATTCCTTTTTCAAAAAGTTTTTCTTTAAATAGTCAAATATTTTCAGTTATTCCATTATTCAATCATTTACAATATCATTGTTTTTTCTCTCATTAATAAAATTTTGGCTGATTTGAATTTCTTGTACGGAAGTTTTTATTTTTGTTTCCCATTCAGTGTTGAAACAAGACTGCTTACTTTGAAGAGTTGATGAACCTATCAATTGTAACAATTAATAGCATAATTATCTTCATTTTAGGAACTAATAACATAGCCCTTGTTGAAATTAATCTTTAATTAGGCTAATAATGGCATAGTCTAACAATTAACTATTAACAGCTTGCAAAAGTAATTTGATTTTATACCATTACTTAAAATATTTTTAAAATTAGCATGTTAGAAAAATTGCTATTTCCAATTAATAAAAATGAAAGAAAATATTTTTCTGTCCTTCAAACCACAATCGCAAATCATTAAATTTGAAACTTATATTGAGTGATTGAAATCTTTACTCAGGCAACATTTTAATAAATTATATCGTGAAAAATGTGTTTTTCCCTTTGCTGTCCTGTCAATTTGATAAACTTAGTTTACTATGTTTTTCTAAGATTTAACAAAAATGACAGACACTCATTTTTGCTTTTATTTGATCTGCGTTCAGCATACCATATCAAACATCCAAAATAAAAAATGAGCAGCTAGAATGTATCATTTTTAAGAAAGTGTCATTAAAGTTTTCAGTATTCTTAAAAATCATATGGGTTTGAATCTTTTGAAGCAATTTATTTTTAACCACTTATTAGATAAGTTGTCCATTATCCGATCCTTTTTTTTTTTTTTTTCAATTAAAGTCAATATTATTACAAATCGTCTAGTATGACTGGAAAAATAATTTTGTTGGATAAAACATTAATTTTTCTGGCATATGCTTCAGTCTGGAAAACACTATAAATACCAAATTTAAAAAAAAAAAAAAAAAAAATGTGTTATTAAATATCTTATTAGGAGTTTTCAGGTTTATCAAATTCCAAAGTCCATAGGTTTAACACTATCTGGTCTAAAGAGATGTACCCTGGTCAATACTACATAATTTGTCACTCTGTTATTTTCATAAAGATGATTGAACCCCGTTAAGTTTGTTTCATTATTTATGCTTTACTAAAATTTTTTGAGGATTTGACTCAACCATTTTATATTCAGTATTAGGCCATTTTTTATTTGATCGTAAATTTTAATGACTCCTTCTCCAGTATGCTTGTGTCATCTAGATACTTCCTTCTAGATACATTTGTATCATTGTCCTTTTTTTTTCTTACATTTTATGCTAGACCTGTTCCAACTACTTCATGGTACTTAAGAAATATCTTTGGCTCCTATTGTAACAGTTTTCAATTGTCCAGTATTGCATTGTCCTAGGCATTGATAGGTAGCGATGCATGTTTGGTGTAGAATATACATCCCATGAAAATAGAAACATTTAAATACTGTTACTTAAGATTAACATTTAACATAGTTTTAACAATTTATTTATCATGTGTTGAAACTTTAACATGAATAATGTCGAGAATTCCTCACAAGCTGCTTGAATCATCAGAACGAAAAACCTACCTGAATCAATTATTAAAAATTTTATCTCTTAAGGGCGGAAGTCTTATTTTTATTAAAAAATGCTGTCACTAATTTTTCCTGAATTTTTTATCATTCTGTCAGTAAAACAGCCAGCAAGCATTTTAAAACAGTTGTCTGTATTTGGTCAACTCTATGTGAATCAACTTTGGAATCAAGATAACCGAGCCACAATTAAGTAGATATTAAAATGTAAGAGAAAAATACACTTTCACTTCAAAGTGTTCTAATGGTGTTGGATGGAAACACAACAGGTGTTAAATTGGTTGGGTCTATTAAGGCATCACCTTAGCAAGCTTGAGCCAGAAGCTATCCCTGTTTGATTCTGGTCTGAGTGGGTTAAAATTTATTTTGTGGGGACCCAATGGCATGAATCTTTATCTTCCTTCTCTGGCCAGAAATAGATGGTTACTTGTGAGATAAACACCCCATATGCCATAAATATCTAACTAGAGAGAAAAAAAATAAAAAAAGGAACAAAATATGAAATATATAATTGGAATATATCAAAACTGTTAAATTAAATATGTTAATGAAAGCCATTAAAAATAGATTTTGAAATAAATAAAGATAGACTGGAATAAAATAAATGGTTAATGATAATGTTGGTGATTACAGGAAACACATTTGTTTAAGTAAAGAAATATCTCACATCTGCAATGCCTAAAAGAAATTCAATTCAAGAAGAAATAAAATAGAACTTAAAGGCAGGAAATGCTTGCTGTATTTTGTCCACTGTCCAGAAACCTCATGGCAATTATAAAACTATTGCATTTTCTTATTTTCTTTAGGGGTTTGAAATTTAGTCACCGGGATTAAGAAAAGAAGAATTCTTTTAGATTTTTCGGAACACAGTATTGTATTTGAAATAATTGCATCACCATCATAGACATAGATTGTCAGGATAGTTGATACACTAATTACACATCTAAAAGATGTATGTAATGATAACTTTTTGTTGGGGATCAGTCAGCATTAAATATTATGATTAATTTTTCTGTGAAGGTGGCATTAAGAAGGATAACAAGTGCTAAACAGATTGGTAAGGATTAGGTTGGACTTAGGTATTGAAAGCGACATCAATAGGAGGATTGTGTTAAGTTTTGATGGCTTTAAGTGAGTACCAGTTCTAGGTTTGTAGGTAAAGTTTGTTAATGTTATCAACATTGAATCTCTGGGGTCATATTTCTTTGTTATTACTGCTAAAATATTTCTTCATTTCCCTTCTATTTAAATTTATTGCATACATTAAACAAATAATTGGTTTCACAAACATGTTTCCCTGGTATTATTCTGTAAGTTTGAAAGTAAACTCATCATTTTAATAATAGAAAACTAAGAAAAAAAAAATCAGGTAAATATGCAGCGAATCTGAAAATGATGTCATTTTCGACTATTTTATAAAATAATTATTTTTTATTTTATACTTTTCTTTTTCATCAGTTATAGATTATGTGCTTGTGTCAGTTTCATTTCAAACGCATTCTCACTTTATCATAATAAACTTAAATCTTTACAAGCTCACTAAAACCTATGTTCTTTACTTTATTTGTATTCCTAATTGTTTACTAATTTTTAACACTTCACCTTTTCTATAACTGTTTATTTGTTTTTGCTTTCATTTTATTTGTTATGTTTAGATTTATTTTTTAAATCCTTTGCTACTGCTGGTTGCAAACGTTTTGGCTGAGAAAGCGTTGTCTATTTTTGCAGTCCCTTTTCGGGAGGCTCCCCGCTACAACCCCCGCAGGAGGTCCACACTCATCACCACCCTTCCCTCTCCCCGCTCTCCGCCGAGTCCCTCTCCATCCGATAGGTCCTTAGCTCCCTTCTCTTCAGCTTCGTCCTCCCTCAGTGATGGCAGTTCTGCAAGCAACAAGATCATTGAAGACACGGCCAGCTATGTTACAGGTAACACCCCTCAATCCCTCCACTCGCTGTTGACCATCTTGTTTTATGTTATTAATTATCTTTTAATATTTTTATACTTAATCATTTTATATGCCTGTTGCTAATTTTAATGTTTATTTCTATGTTCTGTCTCATTATTTTTTCAGCATTGCTTGCATCACATCTCATTCTTTTTTAAACTCTATAATGCATTTATCTTAGATAGACTAGTTATGTTTTTAATAGTACATCACATTTGTTTACCAATTGCCAAAATTATTTGTAGAACTTATGTCACCTATAACCTGAGGTCACATTCTATGAATTTTGTTTTAAACAAAAGTAAAAAAAAATAATTAAAATTTAAATTATGGATATTATTTATTTGAGTGAGTGTGATCATTGGCTAAACAAAAAAATAAATAAATTTTTGTTTCTCCTTGATCCAAATTATAAAAGGTCATTTTGTTTTTGACATCCTCTATTTTAAAACATCCATCATTATTATAAACTAGGATCCAAACTACGGTAGCAATCACCTTCAATCCGGCCCTTGAAAGTTTCTTTGATTACATGGTAAAATTTAAAAATATCAAATTAAGCAAAATACTCACACACTAGGTTATTTCAACATTTATTTCATGGGATTGTTCTGTAAGAAAGCTTATTTCACAGCTGAAATATCATTTATTGAACAAGACTGGGGTGGAGGTTTCAATAGGGCCTGCAGATATTAGTCGAGGTTTCAAAGTGGCCTGTGGACTAAAACGTTTGAAGACTCCTCTTGTAAACAATAGAACTGTTCTCAAATGTTGAGGTGTGTGTTGACTTGTTCAGAAGAAAGTTTTAAGGAAAACTCATCCAGAATGGGTAAATAGTAAAGTACTGTCAGTTGTCTACTGAAAACTTGTACAAATAGAATAGAATAGAATTAATTTAAAATAATAACTAAAAAAAAATAAAAAAATTACAAATGAAATATAAAATATAGTCATTTTTTTAAATTTTGATTAGCAAGTTCTAAAAGTTACTATGATTAATAAAATGAATATAAATTAAAGATGATCCCTCAGGGATTCTATCCTACAAATTTATCCTAACATTTATCAATATTCTTTGTGACTGAGAAATAAAATATTACTATCCATAACTATTACAGAAATATACTTACTAATAAGAAGAAAAGAATTTAAAGTGCAACGTCAGCAATCTTAATTTCAGTAGCCAAACACAAACACTCTATAATTCAAATTGACAAATAAATTGCTATTTGAATGTTATAAACGAAGTCATCTACATGAGATACCCTTAAGTGAAGGGCAGTCCACACGACAGAAGATTGAATTAATCACAAAAATGATAAAAATAACTCCTTGACATAATGCAGTGTATAGCTGTATTATTTTCCAGGAGAAAAAAATAAAATAATAATAAAAATCTGGTGTGGTGTGTGCATCACAGAACTTTCATTTACTACGTTACTTTGAATAAAAATAGTCTTTTCACCATTTGAGGCTTTAGGCTCAAAGCATCTAAGTCATTAGTGCCCAATTAATAAAATAATACTACAATTAAAATATTTAGCTGATAATGAAAGTGATGATTAAAATAATTAATTAGTGTCTGTTTTTCTCGTCTAACCTATAAAATTTATGCATTTTTTGTCACTAACCTTTTTCTTTTACGACTGTATATTTTAATTGTAATAAGTAATTGAGTGCTACAAATTAATTTTTTTAGTCCGACAAGAGTGTCAGTAAGGAGGTCCGATATTCATTTATATTTCATTGTGGATATTTTTTTGTTTAAATCTTTTCACTCCATGGTGTCCAAATGGATACCACTACTTTGATTTTTTTTTAATTTCTTTTACATTATGGAGTAGTTAATAACTTCATCTGATCAAGTACAGTCTACTGTTTTTATAGTAGATGTATTTTTTATAACTACTCTATAATATCAACACTGTTATATTTACAAATTTTAATTTTTATAGTTCCGTAATCTGCGCAATAAAAATACCAGCACTTAGCATTTATGAAAACCGTACATATACAGGGTGTTTCGGTTAAGTGGCCAAACTGAAAATATGAATTAAGGACCTCAAAACAAGAAAAAAAATTCCTATGGAGGTATGTTGGTATGTAGTGGAATATGTTCAACTAAATCATAGTAATCATTATTAAAAAATTCCAGAAATGTGCCCGCATTGAGTCGAGGTGGCAAGAAATGCGGACCTATTAAAATATTGTCTATTATCCCCAACCGCAAGTTACATAGGGCTACCAGAGATGATTATTTTTCTGATTGAAGATACCTCTTCTTGCAAAAGTAGCTTCATCTGTCCAGAGAATTTTTCCTGAAGATTCTGGATTATGATCAACTTGATTTAAGTATCAATCTGAAAAATTTCTTCTTTGCCGAAAATCCTGCGGTAATAAATTTTGTACCTGTTGATAATGATATGGGTGAAGTCCATCTGCAATGAGAGTTCTCCATACTGTAGTTGGCATAATATTTAATTCTGCTTTAGCTCTTCGTACACTGCCAGATGGATTATCATCAAAATATTATAATATGGTTGCACTCCTTTCTTCATTTCGTAAAGAGGCAAAAATACCATCAGCACGTGGTATTATAGCAAATGTACCAGTTTCTCTAAGACGTTGAAACATGGAGCTAAGGATAGACTGATTTGGTAATCTTCTATTCAGAAATCGCCTGGTATGTTCACGATGGGCAGTATTATCATTGCAAAAACCATATTCAAACACCATATCGGCATATTCACCATTAGTATAAATGGAAGGCATTATGATGAGTTCTCTGCGAAAGCCTCTTACAAATTGATAAATGTTATTGAGAGTTCCCAATGCTAATTCCAAATAGTATTAATCCTTATGTTGCCAATAGTTTTTATACAGTGAGGGATAAAAGGCCATATTAGTATTCTATCTAATCCATCTCCTAAACTAAGCATTTGCTGACCTTCACTTTGAACAACATTTAATATGAATGTTAATGTTTAAATTTAATTTATATAGTAGTTAGAACAAATAAATAAGTTTTATTTATTTCCTAGAACGTAAATAACTCATAACAACGAAAATATTTAGGTGTGAATATCTTCTAAACAAAGTATTTGCTGACATATCTTCAGAGGGAATTATTTTCTTGTTTTGAGGTCCTTAGTTCATTTTTGCAGTTTGGTTACTTAACCCTGAAACACTCTGTATAAGTAAATAATATAATCAGAATGTGGTCGTTCACCAAGTTAGAGGGCGTGCTCGGGTTTCTTTGGCAGTTCTCGGCTCCTATTCCCACAAGCGTACACGAGGATCTTTGGCGATTCTCGGTCCCTTAATACCATGTCTTATTTCTCCTTTATTTCATGATCTACAGTGTGATGTGGTTTACTGGGATTTCAGTAGCTCCCCTAAGGTGTGATCCGTGGACAGTTTGTCCTAAGAAAAAAACTATTCGTCATTGTCCTTGGACCCGAGTGAGTCGGTGGGAAGGACACTTCCAGATTGGCCCCAAAGAGATCGGCTATGGAGCTATGGGTTGCCTGCCGCCGCACCAAGAAAGACTTTGGTTCGTACCAACGTGAGGTTGAGTGACCCCCTCCAGGCTATCTGTGTTCCCACAAGCAATATACGTCAGCAAGGAGACCACATCTCACGGCCAAAGATCTTCATGGTCTGTTCGGCCAACCAAAAAATATATATATTGTAGTGATATTAATTATATTTATTTTTTTAATGAATATATGATTATTGAAGATTTTACTATATACTTGTAAATGTACGTATTGCATCTTGTGCCATTTTTGTTATGCCATACAACTGTTTTGTTTCATTCTCTAAGAAAACTTTTGAAAAAGCATGATCAATTGATTCCTTAATTTTGGTTTCAAACTTTTTGTAAGCAACATTGAATATCAAAATGATGCTATTTATATGAATAAAATCTATTAAATGAAATTGGATATAAAATACATTTTTATTTCCATATGAGTGGCCTTATATTAAAGACATCTGCCATTTTCAAAAAGTGGGAAAAAAGTCAATTTTTGTTTAATAGGTTCAACTCAATCTGTTTCTGATGATTTTATTTTAGAATGTAGAAGAGCAATCATTATTTGGTTTAAATTGAAGCCGTATTACAAAAATTGCCTTTTTCTTACCTTTTTAAAAATTACAGATGTCTGTCTTTGATATGAAGGGACTCGTGTATTACTAACTTTATTGTTCATGAAAATTTGTTTTTAAAATAATTAATAAAAAATTGTTTTCTATATTTCGTAATCATAGGAAAAAATATTCTTAACCAGGAATCGTAATGAATAACAATGAACTTGAATATAGATTAAATAGGTTCCCATGAAATTGAGTAATTTATTTATATTTTCACTTCTTTGTTTGCAAATTTTCCTTTTGCATCTAATTTAAACTTTTATTAAAATATTAAAGTTACTTTGAACTTTCTGTTAACTTTGGTTTCATTGGCATATCATATAATTTTGTGTATATTTTTCTGAGTAGAATTTCAATATTTTTTATTCGTGAAATCAAATACATAATTTTTCTTTAAATCTTATTGGCTTCATAGAATTGATGGGAAACACTTTTGAATATTCATATTCATATAGATTTGTTTATATATCTCTACAATTTTTAAGATAAAAAAATCCAAGAAAAAATTAAAGCACAGATAAAATGTGGTTTGGATTGTTACTTTTTAGTGATTATATTTGCTAGATTGAGAAACTGAGTAAAACCGTTTTGGTAATAGAGTTCAATCCAAAGAAAGTTAAATTAACTGAAGAGAAAATATAGCTACTCAATATAGAAGAGATGGGATCTATAATTGGTAAATCTCATTAAAATATTTTTTATTTTAAGATACCAAAAAATGACTCAAATCTATCAAGTTTAAACCCTTTAAGGTTACTTAAAAAATGAATATATCATACCAGATTTTGTTTTAAAATCTTTTTTAATAAGTGTGACATAAAGAAACCTATTCAAACTTAAAATTTTCTACCAAAAATAATTTGGTTTTTTAATACTGTTTTTTTAAATAATGTTTAAAAAAAAATTACTGATGATTTTTTACATCAGTAAAAAACTACAACTAGTTTTGATTACATTAATTTATTTTTCATTGTAAAATACTGTGAAGTTATTAATTATTTGAAAAATAGGTCTCCAAAGGTGTAGTCAATTTTTCACTTCTCATCACTTATTAATACTGCTTCAAGAGAATTCAAATGGACTTTGTTAGAAAGTTGTTAGTCTGGATTATGAATGGATCCCTAAAATTTGTATCAATATTGAATCAACTGCAGGCATTGACTGAGACATAAATGGAAACATTACATTAATCCTTATATTAAACCATTTAGATTTGGGTTTCCATTGGGCTTATTGATGGTGTTATGTGTATTTAATGGTATCAGCACCAAATTTTCTATTTCACTTAGCATAATTATGATAATAATTAACTGCTAATGTATATTAATGTTTTTGTATAATTTAAAAATAAAAAAGTTTTAAACATTTATAATTTTCTCATGTAGATAAGAGCCTTGGTGATACTAGTGATATAATCAGTGACAGCTCTGGAGTCGGCACGGCGAATAGTGATACCATCGCTTCAGTCCTCCTCCCTGGAACTAATGTCGTCTGTATAGAGAACTACAGTTCAACCCAGCCTGGCTACCTTCGCATTTCTCAGGGTGATATAATCGAAGGTAACATACATGTTTATTTATTTTACTGATAGTCTGTCTAGAAGTACCAGTTTCAAAATGAAAGTATTGATAATTTGCAGCATCTAAAGTAGAATTACAAGAATTAAACCAAATTTTTCAATTATCTTCCACTAAATATACTAAACATATTTCTATTTAATTACAAATTCATAACATTTAATGAAGTACGAATCTATATTTAAAATGAACTATGCGAGTCAGAAATTGCTTAGTCCAGAGAAAAAAAAGTTGCCTGATTATTAAACGAAATAAAAAATAATTTTTAGTTGGCACAGATTGATTGACCCAAAAAAATTAATAAATAAATAAAAAGGTTTTTTATTTTGTCTTTTTTTTTATTTCTTATTATATTCTTATTGTAGGAATAATAATTATGTTTTCTTATTACTTTGTTTATTCTTTTTTTGTATCATAAATTTTTATAAATTGATAATATTAGTGATTTAAAAAACTTATAAATGATAGAGCTTTAGTGTTGTAACTGTATAATAAATATTTATAAAAAGTAAAAATAATAATATATAATTATTATAATTTTGTAACATCTTTTATAATAAACACCAAGCTGAAAATCATTTTAATTTGTTTATTTTCTTAACTAAATGTGAAAATACATAAGATCCACAAGTCCAGTTAAAAATATCAATTAATTTCAGTTCTTTTTTTTTATTAAATTAAACTATTGAAAATACAACTTTAAAAAATATTAAAACAGATTAAACAAAATTACTCTTAATTAATCCATATGTGGAAGATATACTATACTTTGCACATATTATAAGAGGTTTCATTCACTATCTCTGAGTCTGTTAGATATGAAGCAAGTGAGGATACAGCTCACACTTTCTGCTGATAATGTACTCATTGTTTGTTATGAAATGTTCCAGTATATCAGTAAGCTGTCTATTCATTATATATATGTATATATATTTATCATATATATATATATATATATATTTTTTTTTTTTTAACTAGCTAAGCCTTTTTTCCCCTTTTTGTTTTCTGTCGCTGAATTTTAAACCATTATGAATAGTGAAGAAATTTAATTGTTTCCTGAACATTAGTTATTATTTTTTTTATGGATAATAATTTGATTTATTGCTGTTCCTTAAATATTGCATGAATCAGATTTAGATAAAATAAAATAAAAATTTGTATAAAATTAAGATTTAAATAGTTTTAAGCATTTAAAATTAAGGTGCATTAATTGACTTATTTTTTATAAAAAATAAAAGAAAAAGAAAAATTCAATTGATTATTAATTAATTTTTAGTCTTGATAAAAAAATGATTTATTACTTTGAATCTCTTATAATTATAATATGCAAAACTACTTTTTCAATACCTTAGTCCTTAAAAAAAAAAGCCCTCTGTTGCTTTACCTTATTCAATCTCTAATCTTGTAATACCATATATTGAAAAACTTATTGATATCTTAAAATCTTCACAGTCATCCTCACACACTTTTTGTTATTTTCTCCTGGCCCTATCTAAATTCTCTAATATCATTTAGAAATATTTATAATCCATTACTTCTATCCTAACATTTTGTGCCGAGGTCCCATAATAAAATGTTTAACATTGTAATTATAAACAGACCCTGATTAATGATTTATAAATTTTTATATCTATTTCGTAATAAGCCATAAATACCATAAATACATCACTTCATATTATGTAATGATGTCACAAGATAGAATATTTATTTTTAGTGACCGGTGCTACCGACTCGGGCTTCCTAGAAGGTAACTTACATGGGGAGTCTGGTCTGTTCCCGAGTCACTGTGTCCAAGAAGCACCTCCTACTATCACTCAGACAAGAAGAAGGCCGAGCACAAGAGTCGTAGGGAGGAGGGAAGCTCTCCCCGCCCCAGCACTTAAACATTTTGCCACCGCACCAAGGAACAAGAAACAGTAAGATGTTATAAATTATAGAGTATAAAGTTATTTAAAATTGTTTACTTGTTAAGATTTCAAATTGATCCGTAAACTATTAAATGTAGTACAATTCATATTTAAAATCAGAATAAATAATAATTATTTTATTTAACATAATGATTATTTTGGTACAGAATAATAATTCTGATTATTATTTTAAAATATTTAAAAACAGTGTCAAAAAAATTCATTTCAAACCATTATATGAGGTTTTTTTTTTTTTAATTCACACATTCTTTCTTCTTCTCTTTTTCAATTGTAAACTCTGTTTCTTCCTGTCCTCTTTTTCAACTGTAAGTTTTTTTTCAAAGGCGATATATTTCTAATAAATTTTTTTCCCTATGTAAATGGCCAAGGTATGGGAATTTTAAACCTCAAACAGGCTGCAAATGGAAACAGAATGGCATTGGTAATGTTAATCACCGGGGATCTTCCTGGGTTGTCTATTCTAAAATAAATCTGCCTACTAGTGATGGATTTGAAACAAAAAGACATACATTTTGGAAGAGGTTAAAGTTTGTTTCCTAGTTTATTTTTGAAGTTCACTGTTGAAAATAATAAACTAGAAATAGAAAGAGAAACTTCCTTGGAACTATTATTAGTAATATGAAAAATATCAAAATTATGTATATCAACAAATACCACTCCATTATATATATACCATATTATAAGTAAATCAAGTTTTCAAAATTAGTGTGATATAATAAATGAAAATTATATAAAAATAAAAAAGTAAAATTAATTAATAACAGAATTTCTGGAGTAATCCAAAATTTAATGTTTATTAGATAAATTAATAATTTTGACTTTATATTTTAGACTTATCACAGAATAAATTCGTTTATGTAATAATTCAAATTTTGATTTATTACTCAGGTTACCAGCAGAGCCCCGAACTGTTGTGCTGCACAGGGGTAGAAGAGGATTCGGATTTGTTCTACGTGGTGCAAAGGCAACATCTCCCCTGATGGAACTCACACCTTCCCATCGATGCCCTGCGTTACAGTACTTGGATGATGTTGATGAGGGAGGTGTTGCTGATATGGCTGGTCTGAAGAAGGGCGACTATCTCGTAGCTGTATGTCCTCAATCTTATATGTGGTATATCAATAGATTTGGTTTATCTTAATATCATAATAATAATTTTATATTTCATTGCAGATAAATGGTGAGAATGTTACAGCTGCTTCTCATGAGCATGTAGTAGATTTGATTCGCCGTTCTGGAGATCTTGTTTCTATGACAGTAGTTTCTGCTCCACAAGCTGGAATGGCAGAACCTAATCCAAGGCATTATGCAACTCTACCTCGAAAATTAAGTTCCTCTGCTACTTTAGGTATGTTTTTTAAATACAAACTTTATATTTACTCACCTTTTGAGAGTTAAAATTCAATTATTTGTGGGATTTATTAGGTTTTATAATTAATCTATATATTATTGCATGATTAGCAAAATATCTTACTCCAGAATAATTGAATACAGCTATTTGAAAAAATATAAATAAAGTTAATTGAATAAAGATTATTTTAGTTTTTTGTACTGTTGAATTTTGGAATTAATTTTCTATTGATTTATGTGTCTGTCATGATGTCTGGAGACCATATAGAAAAACAAGTTTGTTTATAAACACAATGTAAAATGGCATTATAAATAAACATTAGATTTGGAGCTTTCAGTGGCTTTCAGAATTGAAGGAATTCACTTATAATTAGTTCAAGGAATAAAGGCACTTTTTGTTTCTTTGCTTAAGATTCTATTTTTAAAAATTATTTCATGGAGTCATTTTTCGTTGAAATGTATTTTTTTATTAGACCTATGAAATTTTGCCTTTTATGTGAGTGTATAGGAAAACCACCCTAAAAGAATTTAATGATGATTAAATTACTGTGTCTTGTAGGACGGTCACCTGCACCTCTTCCTCCAAGGCGAGATCCTAAAACTACCCTGAGCGTTGGAAGAGCAAGAGCCAGGTCTATGGTTGTGGGAGTAGGAGGTAAGTAGAGGATATTACAAGAGATTTCAATATCTCCATGCTTTTTATGTTTATATAATTTTATATTACCTATATTGTTGAGTAGATTGTAATCATTCTTTCATAGATGAAATTCAATATGTTCTGTATTAAATCTTTTTTTAGAGATACTTTTTAGATTCCATTACTGATTCATTTAAAAAAATAAATATACATAAATGTTGTTGGTACTTATTTTTAGCATTATTTTTTCAAATTCTAATTGATACTAATTAAATTTATTTGTTCATTCATAATTCTGGAGAAAATCTTACTATGTATATATTTATTTATGGTATTGAATATTTAGTTCAACTATCTTTCCTGAGAATATTTTAGAATCGTAACAAGTTCTTAATATAAATTTTAGTTGACATAGATGATGAGTGTGGGAAGAGTTCGAGTGCTGAAAGCATTCCAGCTGGAGCCCCAATGCAACCCAGGACTGCATCTATCAGAGCCAGGCCTACCTCAAGCAGGATCACTGCGGCAGAGCTCGAGGAGCTTTTCCAACGGCAAGCTGGACCAGGACTGGCTGTTAGCAACTTCCAGGTTTGCGAATTTTCTTATGTAATCAATAGATCATTAAATATCATGTTTTATACTTATTTTAAATTTACTACTTGTGAATGACTACTATATACTTCAATAATAATAAACTATCGTTGAAATGTCTCTTGTCATAAATTGTTTTCCTCATTATTATGATGTAATAATCTTCAGTCTAATAAGGCATCAAAGTTTTAATTATTTATTTTGAATGAAATTTTAGGGTAACATGTCACAACCATCCTCTCCTGCCAGAACACCACGGGTTTATGCTAGTGTTGCTGAAATGAAGCGTAGCAAAGGAAAAGTGAGTTGTTAAATTATTTGTTACAGAAATTATATTTACTAAATACCCTCTATTACTTATAATACTTGATTTCATATTGTAATAGTTCAGTAAACAAAAGATTTTTTAAACTTTCTTAAATCATTTATCAGAATGTTGTGTGAAGATTTCATAGCCTTAAGTCTATCAAATTCCAGCAAATAACAAATCAGTTTCTTCAACTTTGCTATCGTGAGGACACAAAAATATAACTTATAAATGCAAACCAGAGGTAGGATAGCTAAATTATCCTTAGTGAGGCTAACCGAATGGAGGTAATACATGCCTCCAAAACAGTAGATTTAAATTTTTCATGTGTGATTTGTGCTATATACATCTAGTCAGCATTTATATTATTTCTGTCCTAATATGCTTGAGTTTGCATCATGTCAGCTGGTTAGTTATTTACTGGTATTTGAGACTTAATGGTTTGAAATCTTCTAACAATATTTTAACGATAATTATTAATTATTTATTTTGATTTCTTTTTCTGAGTAATTAATTAAATTATTTATACATTTCTTTGGACTATTTGCCGATCTTCATGATCCTTTTTTCTTAATTAATCTTACTAAAAGAATTCTGCAACATCAGTTAACTCTGATCTGAAAAGTGGATTGAAGTAAAAAATGGTTTAGAATATTTAAAATATATATATATATATATATATATATATATATATATATATATGGCATAATAAGAAATTATTTATTATTTAGTTTTATAGTATTCTTTAAATAATTATTGCTTACTATTAAAAAAAAATTGTAGATTCATATTTTATGACTACCCAATTCTTATTTCACATAAATTTTCAATTATCTAGTAAAATTTTGAAGTTTACACCTAGAATTTTTATTAAATTTTAATGTATAATTTTGAATGATTAAATGACTATAATAATATTTGTATGCGTATTATTTATTGATTATTTTATCATAAAATAAAATTTATTTATTAGGCTGGTAGCAAAGTGAGGTTTTGTACAATGGGCGGAGGAGAACTTCATCGGGACTTCCATTCCACCCCAGATTTGGCAGCGATGTCTCAAGGCACTTTGGCAAGGACTCCTAGATCGCACAGAAGCCAAGAAGAGTTGAGGCCACCGCTGCCGCCTCCGAGTCATCCACCCCCTCCTCCACCCTCTCACATCGTCAAAGTAGAACTCAACACTGAATCAGAATATGGTTCAGTCACTAAGTCTGAGAGCAAACCTGGTAAAGGAACTATCTTGCTTACCATCAGAACTACTGTAGCTTGAAGTTCATAATTTAATATTTATAAAATGAAATTTGTTGTAGTTGTTACAGGAGTTGATGGAGTGATGTCCAGTTTCAAACCAGCGAGTAGTGCTAAACTGTATGCTTCTCCAGAGGATGTGAAAACTGTTGGGTTTAGGTCGCGATCTCTTCCAGGTCATGGAACTAGATCACAGGTAGTTACCGAACATGATGTTCAATTAGAATAAATAAATTTTAAAAACGTATATCACTTTTATTTTATACCTTGATTACCCCCCTCACTATAAACACCAAGTAAGTATATCATGCACAGTTTATTTTTATAGCATTGTCTCTTCCACAAAATTGTTTTTCGAGGTTTACAAAAAATGGATAATATAATTTTTATCTATCTATCTCTACCTCTGTTTTTTTTTATCTATTTCCATGACGCTACAGTCCCGAATGGGTCTTGACCTCCGCAAAAGCCTCTGCTATTGTTCTACTGCTTCTTCCATATTTTGATAGTTTTTTTAATTAAAAAAAGTTCATGAATGAAGAAATTTATTTGTGTAAATTCTTGGATTTTCTGGCTCACTGATATGAAAGATTTTCTTATTAGCTCAAAATCAGGCTAAATTCTAGGTAGTTAAGAAAGAATTGAATAGCACTTATAGAGAAGAGGAAGCTGAAAGGTATATTATAGACTACCAATAAGGAAAAAAAAAAAGAAAACTTGTACCACTACAATCCATGAAAAGTCTTGGGTTCAGTACTATTTAGGGAAAGTAATGTTTCTTAGTCAACAGATGTGCATGGAGGTGATTTGACTGAGATCACGGTTAACCGCCAGGTTTTCTCCCTTAATTAATTATTGTCCCTTAATACTGGGTGTGCATCCAGAGGGTCTCCTGATCCTAGGGTCGCTCCACAGCTGATGAAACAGAATAAATTATTTTTCTGGTACGATGTGCTCCTGAGTTATGAACTCAAAACAGTCTTAATAACTAGCCTTATGGAGTTGAGAAAAATTACTGGTCGTCTCCTGAACCATGGTACATGGTACAACTTAGATAACTACCTGTAATTTATGAATAAAGTATGAAAAGTAGACTAAATATATTGTTTATGAATGAGAGGCCTTTGTGATCTATTTACGAAAGTATATAGGACTACTTATACTTTCAACTGAAGATATTATGTTGGCTAATACGACAGATCTACTATGCTTCATCAAATTCTCTGAGTTATTTTGGGACCCTTAGATAAGGTTAGGTACGTAAGAACAAAATGGCTAGAATTGGTGGATCAACCATCCTTCTGATGTAGCATTAATAATATAATTAGAGGACAGACCTTAGGAAATTTCTTTTTAAAATTATGACAACAAATATATATATATATATATATATATATATATATATATATATATATAATATATATATATATATATATATATATATATATATATATATATAATGTGTGTGTGTATTGTTCAGCCTATGCCCTTTTAAAATATTTCTCAATTGATATTTAAGGGTCCTTGACAGGTTGGTGCTGTGTGATGTTTGCTTTATAAACAGGTTCTTCTTGATGAAATGTTGTGGTCTCATTCATTTTTCAGATTGTTTGTTTAATTTTTTGTTACTTTGTAACCTAGATGGTTTAACTGATCAAAGGAAAATATGAAAATTTGTAAGTGGATAGAATCCTTAAGCCTTTCTTCTGTATATAACAAATTGTAAGTTACAATGTTTTTTGATGATGGATAGAGATTGATTCAATGAGATTTATTTGTATAAAAGTTTTTAAAATAAAGTTTTATCCAAAAAATGACTTACCTATTAAATTTTTAAAAATCCCAATTTTATTTGTATAGCTAGCTAGATATTAACTAATTAAACTTACTTGGAGAAATGCATCTTGATTTTAGGGTTCAGTACTTGATGAGTGAGGAAGTAATGATGAGATAAAACCATGTTAAATAAAATTCATTTATTTGACAAATATTAGTATTTTACCAAAGTTGGCTTTTCTATTTTATCAAATTATAAAAATTTTCTGTTCAAAATGGGTCAAAATTAAAAAAATAATTTCTCCATTTGTGAATGTTAGGTGTAATGTACTTAAATTAAAAAGGTGATATTAAAATTAATTATTTTTTCTGTTTTTTATGATTGAATTGTTTCAATTCTATAGTTAACAATTGTAACAGGATATTATTGTTTTGTACAATAAAATTTGAAAACCAGTATCTTTTTATAATAATTGCATCTGTATTTTTATATTTTGTTTTCAGTACAAATACATGTTTTTTTTTATAATCTATATTTGTGAGATTACTACTTTTAGTAACTCTTTGTTATTAATTTTTACTTTTTCAAAATGCTCCTATACTGGTATTTTTATTTTTTATGAGTTCTAAATAAGGAAAAATATATATCCATAAATACATATTAAAATACAGATATTTTTGAATTTCTGGTTTAAAAAATGGCATTTTGGTTTAAGTTGAAAATGATCTATTGTTATCTACTTGTAGAGGAGAGAGGGTTCTCAAGGTTCCAGTATATTTACTTTCTTGTAGTTTTAGTGTGTGGTAAAATATTTCAGTTCTGATTTTTTGGTTTCTCAGAGAGCAATGTGATTAAGTCCATGTTTCATCTAATTAGTAACATAATCATACTTCAGTTTATTAATTCTAACAAAAACAAATCAATATTTTCAAAAAAAGTTATTTTTTGCATGATCAATGTATTTCGTTAAAAAAAATAAAAGGCATTAATTTGGTTGTTTTAGTTACTTCTTTAAGGTTAAGAGAAAAAAGAGAGGTGTTCAAAATGTTTTTATATATTTTTTTAAGCTGTACACATAATATATAATCAATTATAGTTTTTTTACATATATAATGTGAGTATTCATTAAATAAAGACATGTAAATATGCACTTTTTATATAAAATGAATTAGCTGTACTATTTCTTAATTTTGATGAAACCCCCAAGTTTTTATTTTTTGTTTGGTTTCTAAAAGTTATGTACAGAAAGTTTAGATTTTCTAATTAATTTTAAGAAGATAAATATTTCTTGAATATGTTTCATCCATCTTCGCGATTTATAAAAATTATAAACGTTAATTAAAATTGATTGAAAGTAGAAAAACAGACTTTTAATAGTTTTTCATTTAATTTATTTCTTCTTGACATAATATATGTCTGTTATATGATACATAATATATCTTGACAGGATTTCATTCTGTTATGGAACTTTTAATTCTAATGTTCATACTGGCTTTATCTCTTATTGTGTCACAAAATAATTTTTTTTATTTAATAACTGAACACCTATTCATATGTGTATTGTTTATTACACAAATTGTTTTCCTATTCTAAATTTAAAGTTCCTGAAACTCTTTTGTACTCAGAGATGATTCTATAAAACTTCAATCCATATACTCAACTGTTCTTTTATTTTTTGAAGAGGTTTACATATAATATTTAGTATACCAAAAAGTTTAATTAATAATTTTTTTTTTTTTTTTTTATGGACTTGATCAATTTGGCTTTTGAGGAGCAAAAATAATATGTGATATAAATACACTATAGATGTTATTCAAACTACTGTTTAATACATTTGTTTATATTATCAATTTTTTTTATAGATAAGGAAGTCACAAAGCCTCAGGTCACCTTCTACAACATTCAAACCCAACCCAGGAACTGTAGTTGTCGGATCCAATCCTTATGCCCAACCATTTCGAGGAAATAACAGACCCAAGTCTGCTTCAATCCCACCCATCCCGGATCCAGATTACAGCCTAAGCGAGGGAGAGAGTGATAACGAACATGAGCGGGAGAAAACAGTGATCAGGGTTGGAGCAAGCAGTGTCACAGAGGGCAGCGGCGGCTCCAGTACCAGTTCAGGCTCTCTGCCGCACTCGTTCAGTGTAGACGAGATACAGAAGGTCAGGACACAGCTCAAATCGTCCAAGTCATATCCTAATGACTTTCTGCCGACAGAGGATGGTGACAACTCATCTAGTGGTGTCAGTTCAGACCAAGAGGTGCCTCCACAAGATCAAAGGGTAAGCTACATTTTATTATGTTTAGCAGTGATGTTGAAAATTATAATTCTTGCCAACATTTCATGGGTATTGTATTAAGATACTGCCACTTTCTGTGATTGATAGGATGGACTGTCATTATTTGTTGGTTGTATGTTTTTTCCTTATTTTTTTAAAAATACGATTGTAATAACAATAAATCATATTTTTAATCAATTGTGATGTGTCTTAAATGTTTTCGGTTATTTCGGAACTAGAACTTTTTCTCATGAAACTATTCAATTAAAGGTTCTACAGAACTTTTATTTAGAAATTCTGTGATAGCAATTCATTTCGCCAAACTTACTTCATTGGCTTCTACAACCAGAGGTGAGTCTTGACCTCTAAGAGATTTTGCCATCTCTAACAGGGCTGTATATTCTTCTTAATATTTTTCTTTCAAAAATTAGGAGACCCTTCTCATCTGTCCTAATTAGAGTCCAGGTTTGTGTAGTCATTCCGTGCTTCATTTTGCCAAAAAGTCAGTCTAAAAAGTGGTAATTGAGCAGTTGATATTTTTTTTACCTACTCAAACAAAGAAACTATAACAATCAGATAATTTATTCAAGATAAATTACATCTGTAGTCTAAGATTAATTACTGTTTACTTCTCTTTTGTCATAACTTTTCTTTTAAAACTTTAATAAATAAAAATTAAGCTTTACCATAAACCTGAAACTTATTACAAAATGTTAAAATAGAACTCTAAAAAAAAAACATTATTAGCTGTAGATATAAGCGTCTATCAAAAGAATAGTGTTGACATTTTCAGAAACATTTTTCATGTTAATGATTGAATTTATTATTTATTAGTTGTTAATCTAAAATATTTATAAGAATTTATGTATCATTTCATCTAATAATCACATTATTATTCTTTATGATAGATTGGGAGGGCTCATCCCAAGAATAGTTTTAATCATTGGGAAAAAAATGGATAACATAATATTTATTTACTTATTCCACCTTTTATTGAAAAATATGGAAAACATATTGCATCAAATAATAGCTATAGAAAATATTAATTATTAATTCATTAAATACAATGATATATAGAAAATAATGTATATTTTAAGATTATCTACCTAAAATAAGAGATAGATTATTGTATAACTATAGAATATTGTTCATTCTCATTTTTTGGTGGAATTATTGGCATACATGATCAAAACAACTATAAATTTATTTTAAACAGCTGTAACACTCAACATTTCACAGTTATTAGTATTTTAATGTATTAAACTAATTTCCATGGGTATGGAATAGTTGTGACAATGATTACAGACACCTACATACAAAAACAAAAGCTTTCTGTTATTCAGAATTATAAATAAGAACCAATAATTGTACTTTTTCAATCTCAATTTGATTAGAGTTGTCGTTATCCTGATAATAGCAAGGCTTACTAAAATCTTTGCTTTGAATTCATTCATTCATATTTTTCTTTTTTTTTATGGTTATGTTAGAGTTAATATTTTATAATTGATCTATATCAGATAGAAACAGCTATTTTATGATCCAACCTGATAAAGTAATTTAAATAAGTGAATAAATATTTTGTATGTTATTAGAATAAAGCTTTAAGTGTACCTAGTACCAGTAAATACTATCCAGTCAACATTTTGGGACTATAAGGTTCATAAGTAATGGGGGGAAAAAAAGAGAATAGGTTTTATGTATATTGGTGAAGCATTGATTATACTAATTAATTATTTACTGATATTTGAGACACTTAAGCTTTGTTTCAGAATTTTCCAGTAATTTCCTAATTTAATTCCTGGTTATTTTTGTCGAGTTTTTTCTTATTAATTATTTAATTTTAATTACTAATCTTTTTTTTTACAGGAAATTGCATCTGTACCATCAAACAGATGCCAGCAGAGGGCAGCTCTGACAAGAAATGCTGTAAGTTTAGCGCAGTTGCCCCCTCCCTTAGAGTCAGATACAGAAGAGGTTGTGCCCCCACCCCCAGGGTTCACAGAAGCCGACGTTTTAGCACCACCACCCCAATTCTCAGACCAGCGCATGGTCACTACTGTCAGGATAGTTGGAGCATTACCGAAGAACAATGGAAGGCTTCACTCGCAGTAACTCCTCTCGCTTCTCAATGGTAGAAGTACTGAGGCAGTTTATTCAAAGTACATTATGCCCAAATGGTTGCACGTATTTTGCACTGCACATATGATACCTGTCGATATCAATTTTAAGCTCATGTTTATTCTACTGTCAATTGTGCATTTTCTAAAATCTATTACATTTTATTTAGAAATGTCTTGTTGGGTATTGTGCTATATATAAATATTTCATTCAAATAATAAACAGTTATTTTAACCGAATATTTAGAGAGAAGCACTTAAAACTTGCTAATTTCTAAACAACATATTCCTATATATATAGTAGTAACTATAAATATGTATATTTATTTTAGTGCAATTCATTGTTATTTATCTTTATTTTATGAATATTGTATATTATGTTTTATATGTTAATTGTCAATTTTGTGTATTAACATTCCTGAAATCATCTTAGAAAATTGTTTTTATTTTAGAGATTATTAGTTTTATATTTAACTTTACTAATGGAAAAAAAATTGTTTGATGTTCCTTATTTAATTGAAAGATTTTTTATCCGATGGCATATAGTTTTATACTATGTAGTTATGTACGGCTATAGTGTTAAGGTAAAGAAGAGTAATGTGTGCCAATATATGTCTTAAGTTGCATCTGAATAGTTATTATTCCTCCCATGTTATTCCACTATGTGTATATATATGAAAAACAGTATTATCTATGAGTACCATTAATTTATAAAAAAAAAGATTTGTTTATCGGCTATTTAATTAAAAATTAGGCTTCCGAGTCTTATGTGTAAAAGTTTGTAGAGAGGTACCTTCTGTGTCCAGAATACTATTGATAGTAATTAAAAAGCCTAATTGTAGATTTTTTTATCTTTAAGATAAAGAGGTCCTTGATTGTTTCATTTTAATTATATTGATAGTGAAAGAGCACTCACTATTTATAAATGTATTAGATATAAACCTGTTTAGCTCTGTGATTGTCTTCCCGATAAAGGTGGACAGTTATTGGACACTTGCTCATAGAATATTGCCTGGTTTTTCAAAGTTTGTAGGTTAATTCTATGATTCCTGCCATTTGTAAATACACAGCTGTGTTTTTTTACTTCTATATAGTCATCTTCTTAGAGAAACTTGAGAATGTTGTGAATGTCTATTGAAGAATGATTGCGGCGATATTGTTACTTGTTTGATTGTTTTCTCAAAAAATTAATTATTAAAAAAGATGTTCTCGATGGAATTAGTCATGGTATTTATAAAGCATAAAGGAACATTTTTCAAGGTTAGACTGGTTTCTGCCCCATCTTTCTACGTTCGGATTAATTGCAATACTTTTGGAATCAATGATTTTTAGTTGGTCACGAGTTGATAGGTACCTTGCAGAAACAGATGATTTTATCTCATTAAATTTTAATGTTTTTATTTATTCATTTTTTTTTTTTAATTTGGATTTTCCTAAGTATCAGATTTGAAGCACTAATTTTTCAATTTATTATAGTCGTTCAAATGAAATTTAATTTATATATTAAGCAATGTTTTTCTTTTAAATTATTGCTCTAAAACAAAAGTAATTATGTAAATAATGGGTAATGTTAGGCAAATTGTGTTTTTTCGAATTTATTTCTAAATTAGCAGACTAGATGTTTATAAAATGTACACATTTGCTTAATGATTCCACAACATTGTTTGTTTATCATTGTTATATATGATTAGGGTTATACATTAATGAACAATGTACTACTAATAAAAATATTCATCTGTGTATTGTCTATTATTCAATTCATTCCTCAACTGGGGCTGTGTTATATAAAGAATTTACTATACTATAGCATTATATATTTAACAAATGATTTACTAACTTACAAAGTAATATTCCTTGCATGTTTATTGTATAGTATACTTTGCTTTATCCGGTACTAATAATCAAAACGAAAGAAATTTAGCTGATTAATTTATAAGAAAAAATATAACAACAATAACATTAGGAAACTACTCACTTAATTCATTAACTGCTTAAAATTGATAATAATGTTTAACTAATTTTATTTTATTATTTAATTAATGACAAAGCAAAAATTTAATCTGCGCTTCCTAAATAATTGACTTAAATTATGAAAGAACTTTGTTCCAGAATTAATGAGTAATAATAATATTTATTAATGAATTTTTAATCTTATCAAATTTGAAAACATCATTGCATCATCATCGTCTTTCTATGGTAAATCATTACAATGTGAAAGAACTATGGCGGATCTTCAGTGAATTATTCCTGGCCAATTTCAAACAAGCTCATAGTTAAAGCAAGGAAAGCTTTTTTTCCAGTTTTTCTCTTTTGTCTTCAAAATATCGTTTGGAATTGTGAATTTATAGTTATTAGCCCAAAGAAATTTAGTAAATTGCATTTAGATTTTTAAAATAAAGATACAGAACTATTTAATGAAAAACTCATTGTAAACATGATCTATTAAATGTTCCCACATCACATTTTAAAGGTTTTAATTCAATTAATTTAAATGAATATCTTTCTGTTAAAGTAGAGAATGAAAAAAAAAAAAAACTGTAATTTGGGAGAATGATTAGATTATTTTTGCTCACAAACAAAATTTTAGAAACCCATATGAGGGCAAACTTGCTCTTCAATATTATTTACAAATATACACATGTAATGTATTACAAGACGGTTTTGTAATTTTCCTTAGTTGTAAAATTTCAGTTATCCTGCCGTCTTTTAAAATCCACATATAAGCTTGTCATATCCTATCTTATCTTTCCTTACTTTGGAAGTAGCTATGAGGTATAAGATGGATGGCCTCTAGATTATGCTTGAGGATAGATTGAAGCATATCATAAACTGCTTGTAGTACAATATTTACTTGGATCTTAACCTATAACAAAACAAATTCTTATAGCCTCCTACAACTCAAATCCTCAATCCATTCACTACAAACGTCATCCCGTTTTTCTGATCTGTTTTCTCCAGATGCTTTTTAGTAATGACAATTTAAGACCAACAAACATTTTAAAAATAATTCTATAATTGTTCAAATACTTCAGAAATTAAATGAAGAATTTATAACTATATTTCTATTTTTTTTTTTTTTTAATTTAAAGTCCTCTGCCTGGTCATAACTGATCAAGCTACCTTAGACAATTATACCACTGCCAAGAAAAACATGAACAAAATTATAACATATGGAAAAAGAGAATTCCTCAAGAAAAGATTGAAAATCATTGAGGACTACTGATAATCCTAATTCTACACAGATATTAGAAAATAAAAGGTACATTATAAAGTGAGAAATACTCATATGTGAGGAAAATATTAATTTATAATTTCTTATGTTATTAGAATGTTTTCTTAATATAATTAGAAATTTAAAGTAAAGCAAACATTAAATTATAGAATAAAATTTAATTGAATATATTTTAAAAATGTCAATCAAAATTATATTGATGCTTTTGGCAATAAATGCATGATTATAGCTAAGATATCACAGTTTACATATGGAAGTTTATGACACAAATGTAGATGGAGCTTCTGAACTGACAAATTATTTTTTATATATAACATTAAAAAATAAAATTTAACAATAAAGTTTTTAGTTGCTCAAAATCCTTTAAAATAATATATATTTTTTACTATTATTTAAAATAGTTGTTTTCCTCTAACTCATTTAAAAAACAGTTTGTACTTCATTAAAAATCAGTTTAATTTGTAAATAAGAAGTTTAAATAATCTAAGCTTTCATACCTAGTTAAATAATGTTAAACACATCGTAAAGTATAAGAAGTGGTCTGTTTTAACTCTCCTGAGAGCTGTGTTGATATTCATATCCAACAGAGTTACATTCTAATGCACCAGTAGTTCAAGGCTTTGAACCTGCTGAATCTGCACTCCAGCTTTATATTGTCATGAATACAGGCAAATGACCTTATCCTTATCACAGTTTAACTATTAAATAAAATTTATGTTGCAGCAAAGGTTCTAGAAATAATGCCTTCTAATACAGCAATAATTCATAGTCATTGATAAAATAAAATAACATATTTTAATATGTATTAAAACATTTACTTTTAGGAATATGAATAAATGTAATTGTTTTGAGATTTAAACATAAATCAATTGCTGCATAAGATACTTCAATTAGTTCTGGTTGTTTATTTCAGATTAAAAAAAAAAAAAGACCTCAAATAAAGGTACTTTAAATACATTTGTATTTGATAAATTAAATTCTGATTTTACTCTTGCTAAATATAATTAATTAACACCATGAAAATGTCTTATAACCTTTAATTATTATCCTACACTGTTTCAAGTAAAAAAGTATTATTCTTTCCATAATTGCTTTTTAACATTATCAAATTAATTGTGTTAATACTATAAAATGAAAGTTTATACCATTTTACATATACCATGTTCTTATAGCCATATTTCTATGTAATCTTTTTAACATGTTATGCAATATACAGTGGATCGAAAAAGTATTGGCACATTAAACTGTTTTCAGATTTCATTGTAAAAGAATCCAAAATTGAAAAAAGATTTAGAAAAATACTTAATTGGAACAAAAAATTTTAAATTTACTTAATTAAAAAATTCAGCAAACAAAAAATCACTACAGCACGGTCAAAAAAGTATTGCCACACTTTAATTTAAGGTTTATTACCCGAACTGGAAATTTATTAATATTTTTTCATCATACCATTGGCATCTATGACATCCTGGAATCTTTTTGGTATCAAAAAAACAAAATTTTTGAGTTAAGTCTTGTCCAATTTTACGCCATTCCTCTGAAGAAGTTTCTTTTAAAGAAATTTTAGTTTTCTTACTTTCAAATCCAACAGGTACCATCTGTGTTCTATGGCATTTCAATTGACGTGAACATTGTACATCATTCATTCTTTTGTTTTATTTGGTGTGTGCTTGGTGTCATTGTCCTGTTGGAAGATAAATGCATCTTTGATCCTTAGATTTTTGGCTCTACTTATTAAATAATGTCACAAAATGTTGATATACTGTTTGGCGTTAATAATATTGTCAATAAAGATTAAGTTTCCAACGCCATTCTATTATATGCCCTCTCAAACCTGGACATTTCCATCTCAATGTTTTACAGGAGGCCTCACATGTTGAGTTTTAAACTCAGTGTCAAATTTCCACCAAACCAACTAGTGGCTATTAGAATGGAATATGTTAAACTTACTTTCATCAGAAAAGATAAACTCAAGTCTTTTTTTGCAAAAGGTTTTTTCCTTTGGAACCTACCATAATAGTTGTATATATGAATTATATTTCTAACAGAAGGTGTTATTTGAAGTACATATGACCCCTTCTGCTATCTGGGCGGCTGATAAAGTGCGATTTTGCTCATCAATTTGATGGCTATACCTTTGTGCACTCCCATTTAATTTTGTTTGCCGTTCTGAACGAGGTTTATTTAAGACTTTCTAAACTTTTGTGCAATATTCTGAACACTACTAAAACTCATTTCTAATTTATTTGGTATTTGTCGGCAGCTAAGTCCATTAGAATATAATTTAATGATTTTTTTTTTTTTAACTGAAATAATATTGACTGGTTTACCCATGTTGTTATGGCAAATATTCAGCAAAGACTGATTTTTATTGTTGTCGATTCTCATTTCTAATCTCTTGAAAGAAAAAGGATTGATTTGTTTTGACTGGAGCTAATAGTAAACATTTAAAACTGTGGCAATACTTTTTTGATCCTCAAAATTTATTCTTTTTTTTTTACTTTAAACATAGCTTTTGAATTCTGAACATGCATTGCTTCTAAAATATAATACTCAAAGACCACTTTGATATATGAATATTATTTCTGGAAAATATCTTAATCCTATTGAGATTTCCATAAAAATTGGAGTGTACTTTTTTGACCCACTGTATACAAGTAGCTAGGTAAAAAATTATATAATATAAAGCAATAATAAAATAACATTTTATCACCTATTAGGCATAGTATTTTTAACTGAAATAATTTTAACAATTTCAAATAACTGAACACTTCAAAATTATTATATAGTATGAAAAGTATATTTAGTAAAATTGTAATTTATATTATAAGTACATTTAATTAATTAACAATAAAAAAATTATGTAGATAAGTTATTTATCTCCATGTTTAATGTAATAGTATAATTTCCACTTAAAGAAAATAAATAATTCTACCATATTAAGTGCAATTATTGTTCATCTATCAAGTACTATAATCACTAAACCTGGCACGTACATGAATAATGTACCTAAGGATGGAATAAAATAAAGTGCCTTAAAAAATAAAATAAAAATATTTTGAAATTCACCACCTGAGAACCTTTCCTTCACTAGATTTTCTATAATTTCTGCACAGGTATACATACTCAGGGCCCTCACATAGAGGGAGAGAGTCCAGTAAAAATAGTAGGATTATATAATTATAATTTTATAGGTTGCTAACAAGAGAAATGTAATCATTAGGTATGCTTTATAAAATATAAACTATTATGATATATTTAGCCACAGACATATATATCAATTATCAGTTCTTGGTATAGGTTTGTTGGGGTCATGAGTGTACAATTGGTAATAACATGGAAAAATATGAATCTTTAGTGAAATGTATCAATTTATTTTTGAATTCCAGAATTATAAAGGGGGAAAAAACAAATAATGGTAGATTTTGGAATTTCTGTAGAAGCTTTCCTAATTTAGCTTGAGACATGGAGATATATGTCATTTAACATAATATTGGTTTTCAAAAGATTATATAGCTTAAGATAAAGAAAATTTATTAAAATCCAATTTAATTCTTCTTATAAAAGCTATATTTTATCATATTTTAGGCAATAAAACTTCCAATTTTCTTCATATTTTTTTATTTATGCTTGTTGTCTCTTAGGTTTCGGGACAATTTTCCCATCATCAGAGTAATATTTTTATTTTTACTGAAGTTATGCACATTTTCTATATTAATTTTTATTTAACAATATCATTCCAATTTATCTATTTTACAATTATTTACCATTCATTTTTTTTTATGTGGCACCATT